CACCATCACCACCATCATCATCACCATCATCACCACCATCACCATCACTACCATCATCATCATCACCACCATCATTACCATCATCATCACCACCATCACTACCATTATCAACACCATCATCACCATCACCATCACCATCACTACCATCATCATCACCATTATCATCATCATTCTTGAGCCTTCCTTGGTGGTCTTCTCTCCTTTTCCACCTCTCTTCCTTATTGAAAAGAAATTATCACACAAGTCTGTTGGAGAACAGAAGGCAAATTCAATGAACTGAAAGTAGTGAAGTAGAGGCCTTGAGCAGAGAGGGAGCAGTGGTAATGGTCTTTGTCTGGGCCAGGCTGTTAGTTGCCTTGAATATTCTGAGGCCCTAGTCTTCCACACAAAGGTCCAGGAAGGCTGAAACTTTAAAATTTTCTGACACTAGCAACCTTTGTCCTTTGGCCCACTGTGGCTCCTAAATGAATAGAAGACCTGAAGGCTTTTATTTTATATTATCCAGAGAGTAAAATTAGGGTGCTGTTTCCCTTTAAATATTATGGTAAGAGGATCTGAGTTAATATCAGATTCTGCCAGATTACTATTTATGGAGCAGAGAATAGGGACTCTGTTTCCTCATCTATGAGAACACCACTAGCTGCATTATTGGGTGACTGTGATTGAATAAGAGAAAAGTATGAAGACCTGAGTGTGAATCAGGCTATATATGAATCAGGGTGGGGATACATTAAATGAAATATTATACATAAAGCATTTGGTATAGTGTATGATATGCAGAAAGTGCATAAATGATGTCTGACAGTGATGGTAATGATGATGATAAAAATGTCAGTTCTTGGGACTGGAGAGATGGTTCAGTGGTTAAAAGCACTGGCTACTCTTGCAGAGAACCCAGTTGGGTTCCCAGCACTCACATGATGGCTAACAGCTGTCTGCAACTCTTCATTCCGGGGAATCTGACACCCTCTTCTGGCCTCCACAGGAACTGCACACACGATACACTTACATACATGTAGGCAAAACACTGAAACACATAAAATAGGGGCTGTAGAGATGTTTCATCAGTTAAGAACACTGGCTGTTCTTGCTGAGGACCCAGGTTCAATTCCCAGTACCCACATGGCAGCCAACAATCATCCATAATTCCAGTTTCAGGGACTCCAACACCCTCTCTGTCCTCTGTGGGCACTGCAGGACATGGGTGCACTTACATACAATCAGGCAATACAATCATACACAAAAATAAATAAAGCTGGGTATGGTAGTGCACGTCTTTAATCCCAGCACTCAGGAGGCAGAGGCAGGTGGGCAGGTGGATCTCTATGAGTTCAAGGCCATTCTGGTCCACATAGTGAACTCCAGGACAGCTGGGGCTACAGGGAGGCACTGTCTCAAGAAAACCAAAAAAAAAAAAAAAAAAAAAAAAATAAAAAAAAAAGCATATAAACATATAGGGTGTTTTGATCAAATCCATGCCCACTTCCTCCCCTCCAACTCCTCCCATATCTCCCCATCAAAAATGTCAGTTCTTATCTATGTAAAGGGGGTCACTAATGGTCCTTTATATATAGTCCTTTGCTACTTCATCAAAGGTATCAAAGCAACTTACATACCTTTTTTGCTCTCTCCTAGATGAACTAGTGGAAAGAAAAGGGATGCTAGGCCCACAGAGCTCAGGTAGAAAGGAGAGTCAAGGGTGGGTCACCTACCCTAGTCCAAATGTCAGTTCTTATCTATGTAAAGGGGGTCACTAATGGTCCTTTATATATAGTCCTTTGCTACTTCATCAAAGGTATCAAAGCAACTTACATACCTTTTTTGCTCTCTCCTAGATGAACTAGTGGAAAGAAAAGGGATGCTAGGCCCACAGAGCTCAGGTAGAAAGGAGAGTCAAGGGTGGGTCACCTACCCTAGTCCTCCTCATGGCCTCCAGGTTTCACTTCTGCCCCTGGGTCCTCCACTGTAGTTTTTAGGGATGGTCCAGCTGGGCTAGCTTCAGCCTAGTGCCTGGGCTAGCTGTGTTCTGTTTTCACTTTTGAAGACTCAAGCATGGTGTTGGGGTTTCATACTGCTGAACTTAACACCCCAAATGCCAGGGCAAGAGAAAGGAGGGTTTAAAAAAAAGGGAAAGAAAGCAAGCCGATAATTTCCTCGAAGGATAAACATCCGAGTTTTTTTTCCTTACCCAAAATAAACATGCTAGCCACAAAGAATTCAAAGCAGAAGAGGGGAGGATGCCTGGATTTGGGGCTGTTCTAGCAAGCTGACCTTCTATTTATCCCGGTCCCAGGCACCAACCGGAGCTGCCAATTATGCTCCTCATCTGGCAGGGTAAGGGCTATGGAGAGAAGGTCTCAGGGAATATGGGACCCAGAAAGTCCCTTCTGTAGCCGCCTTCCGTGACACTGCAAATGGAAACTTCCTTTTGTTTCTTATTTTAGCTCTGCTTACAGGCTTTTCTGGTGGGGTAGAGGGAGTGGGAAGGTTCCTTTTGTTCTGGGCTGGCATCAGATGCCCTTCTAGAACATAGGCCCTGACTTCCATTCTTTTGGGCAGGGAGGCGAATCTACTAATGGAAGGGGGCATCATCCAAATTTCTTCACCAGCCCCTCACCCCACTGCATTCTTTTTGGATTCCACCATGGAAATGGACTAATGAGTTAAGAGTATACTTGATGAGGTGGACGTCAGCTGAGGCCTCTCTGCCTTGTAGCTACCATGGGACATGCCTCTAAGAAGGTAATAACCTCATGCCCAACTGTAGCCTGTCTCTTCTGGGGATCTCAAAGCATTTTGCACACGAATCACCAGTGCTGCAGTGTTCCAGCCAATGTCTCCATAGGTTATTAAGTCTTAGCGGGAAAGTGATCTGAATGGGTCTTGGGGGCAGTGGAGAAACCTAGCTTGGGGACGGAGCATGGTTCATGCCTCACAGACTAGCAGAGAAGCGTCTTCCTTGGGTTGGAAAGCCAAGAAACTACAAGGAAGTTCAACTGCCTCAGACTGAAAATTCTTTCCTTGTGCACACCTAGGAGCTCCCTTATAGATTTCTGAAAGCATCTACTTGATTATGTTGCCTGTCCTTTTCCAATCTATTGCACAATTTATTGTCTGTAGGATGCATTAAAAACTTTATCATGGCTACAAGGCCTGGCGTGGCCTTTGCCCACCTATCTCTACTCACTGAGTTAACTCCTACTCCAGGTTCCAGCCCTGACTTCAAACACCACTTCTTCCAAGAGGCCTTGCCAGAGCTGGGTATGGTGGCACACACCTTCAATCCCAGCACTTGGAAGGCAGAGGCAGGTGGATCTCTGTAAGATCAAGGCCAGCCTGGTCTGCATAGGAAGTTCCAGGCCAGCTGGGGCTGCAGAGACACCCTGTATAATGAAACCAAAACCAAAACCGAACCAAACAGGCTTTGCCTCAGCCTTCGACTCCCACTAGAAATCAAGCCTCCTTTACACCCTCATAACTTACCATAGGCTGTTATGATTTGATTGTTTCTATCTGATGACTAACACCCTCACCCCAGATTGTTCTACATCTTTCTCTGCCTGTCCTGCTTCCCCCCTGCATTCCTGGGCCAGGCTTAGAAGAGGTGTTGGCAATGCTCCTTGAATGACATGTTGAATGTTGGAGCTGGAAAGGTCCGTGGTGATAAACCTAATGCCCACTTCCACTCCTCCCTTCCTCCCGCGTTGTCATAGCTGGGCAGGCAGAGCAGTAGGGAGGATAAATGATTTGACAGTCAGGCCTAGGGACCTGGTCACCTGCCTGCCTATCCAGCTCCGTACCCCACCCACTTGCATTTATAGGAATGCCTCGAGCCCAGGTCTGGGCATTGATCCGTTCTGCCTTGTTGCTCTTCTTTCTTCCTCTCTTGTTAGTATTTTTTTATTTATCATTTTATTTATCATTTTATTTATCTATTTATCATTTATTTATTTATTTATTTATTTATTTATTTATTTATTTATTTATTTATTTTGGTCTTTTTGAGACAGGGTCTCCCTGCAGCCCCAGCTGGCCTGGAACCTGCTATGTAGACCAGGCTGGCCTCGAACTCGATCCACCTGCCTCTGTCTCCCAAGTGCTGGGATTAAAGGCGTGCGCTACCACGCCCGGCCCTTATCATTTTTATTTTATGTGTATGAGTGTTTTGCCTGCATGTGTGTAAGCGCATCCATGTCGTGCAGTGCCTGCAGAGGTCAGAATTGGGCACTGAAACTGGAGTTACGGATGGTTGTTAGCCGCCATGTGGGTGCTGGAAATCGAACCTGGGCCCTCTGCAAGAACAGTCAGTGCTCTTAACTCATGAGCCATCTCTTTAGCCCCTCTTTCTTTTTTCATGTGTGCATGTTCATGTGAGTGTGACTACTCATGTATGTGTGGCTGCATACTTGCATGTGTTTGTGCATGTGTGTGGAAGTCAGAGGACAATGTCAAATGTTGTTCCTCAGGCACGTTCTACATTTTGTTTGAGATAAGTTCTCTCACTGGCTTGGATATTTGCCTAGTAGGCTAGGGTACTGGCCAGTAAGCCTCAGGATCTGCCCATCTCTGCTTCTCATTTTCCCAGTGTTGGGTTTTTGTTTTTGTTTTGTTTGTTTGTTTGTTTGAGACAGAGTTTCACAAAGTAGACTTGACTGGCCTTAACTCCTGATGTAGACCAGGCTGATCTCAAACTCACTGCCTGCCTCTGTCTCCTAGGTGCTGGGATTAAAAGCATGTGTCACCACATCTGGTAGCACTGGGCTTCCAAGCTCAAGCCCTCATATTTGCAAGGCAAGCACTTTACTGACTGAGCCATCTCCTCAGCCCTACCCTTAGTGATTTTCGAAGGAATGCAGTTTAGGAAACAAACCACTAGTCCCTGGATGATACCTTTTAATTTGGAAGAGAAGGGGTTCCATACCAAAAGGAAGTTCTGTTCCCAGACCACCTGTGGTAGGTGACATGATGTAGATGCACACCTTGGTGGGGAGAGTTTGTAGCTCAGTGGATAGTTATCTTTGCCCGGCTTTGCCCTTGGCCTTATTGTCACTTCTACCAAAACCTGGTGGCAAATCCCCGTCGAACTCAGTCATGTACTGGGTACTTGTTTCATGTTTATTTATCTTGAAGTCCTGTAGAAATTTCTCAAGCTTCCAAGAGCCTAGAAGGACCGAGAGACCACAGAGAGACAGTGAGAGAGAACCACTGATCCGAGATGTCTGACAGGGAGAGGCCACCAACTCTGAGATACGAAGACAGGCGGAGATGCCCTTGGCCATCAGGCTAGGGGACATGTAGTGCATAGGAGGCCTTCTGGCCCCTAGCTGCAGGGGAGTCCCTGGATGCTTGTAGACCTCCAAGACATGAAAGAATTAGGTGCCTGCTTGCTAGAGGAGGATGGTGACTTAGCCCAGAGTGAGCTGAGGCTACTTTAGCGCCTTTTATTTAATACACTGTTGCCTTCTCACCCTGTGTTGAGTTCCCACCCCCTCTTCCTACAGGTCTCCTGACTCCATGAGGCTTCTTCTCAACACACCCACTCACCCTGGCTTTAGGGCCAAGATTGGCAAGAGTCTATGCCGTTCTTACGATCTCCCCAGGGGCGCTCACAACCCTGAAACATGGCTCCTTTCCTGGGGTAGAAGGAAGGGGTGGAGCTTGGATCCTGGATAGGGATTAAGTGTGGGAGACATGTCCCCAGTTCAGGTCTGGAGCATCCTAATCAATGCCCAGGTCAGAGGAGTCTCTCTTCAGGAAGAGACAACCCAACTGGGATACACCTTTTGTGGGGAGGAGAGTGAACAGGCCTTGTGTAGGGTAAAGAGGACACAGCCCAGACACTAGGAAGAGGCTGAGAGAAGGAGTCAGAGGTATATTCCCATGTTCGGTTCCTAAATCCTGAGCCTCATGTACCCTGGGTGGAGGGTCGCCAGGAAAATTCAGGACACTCTGGTAAGTTTGGATTTCAGATAAGCAGCAAGTCATTTGCTGCCTAAGTATATCTATTCCACCTACTTCATGGAGAATACTTATTCTAAAAAATTTTTTTTCTGTTTATTTAGACAACTGTAACTCAAATGTGTCCTGCAGTTTTTTGTTGTTTTGGAGGTGAGGCTAACTCTAGCACCTTCCCTGGATGGGAGAACACCTTAGGAAGGTCTTGCCTAGAGTAAAGATAGGCAGTAGCCAACATGCCTTGGTTTGAACAGTCATCCCTGAGACCTAGAAAGAAGAGTGTCAGCAAGAGGCTGGCAGCCTGGAAGTCTTTGCAGAGCTTCACCTCTGATCCACAAGCCACCTGTTGGCCCCATCTTCACCCACCACCATTTTCATGAGGATAAAATGAAGTCTACCCAGCTCTTCTCTAAACTTACCTTCCGTTCAGGTGTGGCTGGTGTTTCAAAGATATTCTCAAGAATATCTGGACACTTTTAAATCCCAGCCCCCAAAGCAGTAATGATATTACAGATAATAATAGTAAGAGTGACACTGTTGTGTTTCCTAGGTGGCGGGTGTAACAATAGGAGCACTATGTACGTTAATTTACAATACTTCTGAAGTGGAGGATTGTCATCATCCTTGGCTCACAGAAGGGACTGTGGGGTCTGGGATGGGGTACTGTGATGAGGGGCAAGGCCTTTTAAGGTTTCCTCAATGCTGCTGACTCAGCAGCTGCATGCTTGCCCCAACCTCAAGGGCTGTAGAGTTAGGACTTGCGAGTATGTCATGGGAGAAAGGCTAGCCAAGATGCTGAAAGCCTGGCTTGTGGATGGATACTGACTACATTGGGCACTTCCATGGTGTGACTTTGTGTCACCCTACTGCTCTTTTGGATACACTGTGCCTGGTTGGAGCCACTGTACCCCACAGCTGGCTGGAGAGCAATTTTGGTATCATGACTCTTGGAAAGCATGTGCATGTGTGTCTGTGTATGTATGTGCATACATGCCTCTCTCTCTCTCTCTCTCTCTCTCTCTGTGTAAGGTCTCATGGGTAAAGTAGTGTATAGCAGGTATGAGGGCACAAGGTGGCCTTCCCCTTTCCCCGCTGACTACGAACAGAGAGAACCTAGTGACAAGGAAGGAATTGAAACCTATCACGCGATCAGAGCAAGCTGGTGGAAAGAAATCCCCTATGTCCCGAGAGAGATCTGGCTCTCCTCACGCAGAGCTGACCATCCCCAACTTAATAGCTGTCTCCTCTGTGAATTCAGAGTGTCCTGGGGTCCTCAGGCTCCTTGTAGTGACATTTCCTACAACCTCATAGTTCTCAATAACTTGGGCAGCAGTTCAGCAAAGCCAGGCCCTGGGCCTGCTAGTCTCTTGCCACCTCCTCCTCCCTTGGCCTACCAGGGACTCCTTACATACTCCCACTTGTTTCCTGCCACAGAGGATGAGAGGAACTGACCCAGAGTAAGTTCTAGAAGGAAGAGGGGTGAGTTAAGTCCTTAGGAACATGTGGAGAGAAATGGAGAGCTGTGGTTTCCGTGGTCACTGCTCAGAGGAAAGCCCCTTCCTGTATGGTATTGCTCTGTCTGGAGCTGCAGGAAGAGGGCGGGAACCGCTGTCCTGTGGGCCTCCTCTCAGGAGTGGGCAGGGTGGGGAGTGCATTATCAGAGGCTTCCAGGAGAAGGTACTGTCTGCTGTCTGTACCCTGAGCTGCCCAGAGGGAGCAACACAGAGGCTGATGCTCCTGCAGCTGGGTTGCATAGATCATGTGCAGGTTGGTCCCTGTACAACCCCAGGGGCACCCTTCTATTCTGCAGAAGCTGCTGTAGCAGCCCTGCTGAGAGGCCACTGCCTCTGCTGAGAGCCGATGGAGAAGATGGAGAAGAGGTTAGCTGAGGTGCTGATGTTAGTTACCCTGGTTGTGGGAGAGGGTGAGGGCAGAGTGAGGAACCTTATCTAAACCCTGGGGGAATTCTGAACCATACTTTATGCCCTACTTCCTGCTAAGCACCAGGAATACAAGGACCCTGTCTTCAGCAACCAAGAAAGGGGCTACTTCTCTGAGCTTCAATCCCGGGGGTGGCTATGGGTAGCAGGTTTGGAATGGTCTTGGGGGCAGGTGTTGATGGTCACTTTCTTTACCCTAGGTTCCGAGTCAGTGGGGCTGGCTTTTGCAATTCGGAACTGGCTATCATGTGCATGCACATCTTTTGTAGGATGCAGGAATGAGGTAAACAACTCTTAGAACTGTGCATTCTGAGCTGAGTGGACCCGAGTGCTAGCCCCTTTTATGTAACACCGGCAGGGCCTCCCTGGGCCTCTGCCAGTCATGGGTGATGGTAGCGGATCTATGTATGCAGCTTCATTCCTGATCTCAGTGAGTTTCTAATATTTCCTAATTAACACTGGATGAAAAATAAGTCCTACAGGGAAACCTTGACCAGTAGCATAGTTTTGCAGTCGGCCCCTGGCTGATGCTCACAGGCCCTTTAACAGGTCCTCTCCCAAAGCTTCTATCAGTATAAGACAGTGCTGCCCGGCCCTGCTCTGGAAGAACAGTTTTCATTTGACTTTCTACTTGGTCCCCAGTGGCTTCTGAAGTGTCTCCCAGCTTTGAGTTTGGGGATGGGAGCCTGAAGGAGGCAGGTGCCATTCAGGTAAGCTGGGGAACAAGAGTCTTAGCCATTGACTTCAGCCTCCTGCCCCAGGCAGTCCCTGTAGAGACCCAGGCACCTGGCTCTTGGCTGCTTTGCCCCAAGGCAAGTGACTTGCCTCTCACCAAGGCATCCAGCCTTTCCCTTCACCTTGGCCTTGCTCTATTTTCCCCTTTGGCAGGTTACCACTTGTGATGAGGGGACTGTGGCCCTGAAGAAAACATGACTTCAAGTCCAACCTAATAACTGCCCCCACAGAGAGCCCGGCTCAGGTCTGTAATTTGTTTGGCTCGTTGGGGCTGGTTGGGTGATAGAAGAACTGATGCCTTTCTGCAGAGATTAATGATGTCCTGGCAGTAGTAGGCGGGAGGCCTGAGCCTTTTATTTTTTGTGCCATTAAATGACATCCAGAGACTTTCACTCAGGAGCTGAAAAGCCCTCGTTCCATCACATCCAATTACTTCTGGAGAGTATTTGCTGAGTGGCTGATCCTGCTGGCTTGAGAGGCTTTGGGACAGAGGGACCACTGGGACATGGGACTTTGGTCCAAGTGGGCAGCAGGGAGGCTGGGAAGGCCCACAGTGGTGAGGAGTTGCTTGTCCCATCTCCTCCACAGAAGAGAACCCAAGACAGCTGGAGAATGAGAGGGAGATTCCTAATCACGTGGCCAGGGGGGTCATTAGACCTCCTTTCTCCATCATGTAGCTGAGAGGGGATAGAGAAGAGAGGGAGAGAATGAGGCAATCAGTGGCCAAGTTAGCTCCCATTTATCAGTTCCTGTATTCGGTAGTAGCAAAGGCTGACTGGGATTTGGGCTAGAATTTGGGAGTTATCTATGAGTCCTTTGTCCTTTTGAATGGTCAATGTTCAGCCTGACTGGGGCACATTTCTCCAAGAGACTTTCTTTCAGCTTACAGAAACTTCAGATAGTTCCTGGCTAGGGTGCCAGACTGAATGCTGCCTAGGATGGTCCCAGCTGGGCGCCTGCCAGGACCCCAGAGGTACCAGGCCCTGCCAGGTGGGTAGGGCCTTTTGGAGACAGAAGAGAGCTGCATGCCACACAAGCCCACACGGTGATGTGAACAGGGCTGGGCCCTGGGGGCTTCTGGGGCCAGGCCAGGTGAACCACTGTGGGAGGTCATGGGGGGTAGGTTGCGCTGTTTTGCAGCGGGATGTGTGTGTTTGTGTTATGTCTGTATGTGTGCCGGAGGATGGTAGTCTGAAGGTGGGGTTGTTCTCTGGGCAGGACCCCCTTTTCCTCTTGGGCATATTCCCTTCATATTCTTCCACTTACCCTGAGCTCCAGCTCTTGTCTACAGTCAATGGGTTCTTAACTGCTGTGGCTTGGGGCTCTGCTGCTTTCATGCCCGTGGCCCAACAGTGGCCCTGTCACAGTCACCCAGGAAACCATGTAAGACTTAGACCCCACTGTATTGCAGCCCTTGCCTGTTCTTCCTCTCTGACCCTGGAATCCAGATGTCTGCATGCTGGGGAGCGGCTTATGGCTGCCTAGCTCAGAACCCCAACCCTGCTTGCTGTTTCCATCCCATTTTGCAACA